GGAAACAACCTAGGTGTCCATCAACTGAGGAATGGATAACCAAACTATGGTACATACACACAATGGAATACTATGCAACGCTAAAGAATAATGTAGAATCGGCAAAACGCCACATAACGTGTATGAACTTGGAGGACATTATGCTGAGTGAAATAAGTCAACCACAAAAGGACAAATATTGTTTTAGTCTGTTATTGTAAAAGTCAAGGAAAGGTTTATCTATGGAAGGAAATTTTCTTTTTGTTTACCAGGGGTGGGAGGGGAGGGTAGAAACACTGTTAGATAGGTAGAGATAAGTATTGGTTTGGGTGAAGAGAAGGGCAATGTATCAAATGTGAGTGATCAATATGGTGGCACTGAGGAAGAGAAAGACATATAGAGGGATATGGGAGGTACAGACAACAAAGATGAACCCTTTTGCACATATAGCACTGCACTGTCAGTGAAGGCAAACACGGGTATATGGGTGGTCAGATGGGTGGACAGGCTGAACTAGTACGTATGCCTATGAAGCAGGGAGTGTACCCAAGACCAGGTACAGGGTTGGCAGACAACAGTCCTCTAAGTTTATGTGTACAATCTGAATTCCCAGGTGTACAGCAGAGCTAACAAGGGGCAAGACTGTGGTCACTTCTTGGTCACAGCCAGCTACCCAGAGGGACCAAGTAGTTGAACCTGTGGGCTCAGGACCACAGCCGCAGGGGACATCAAGCTCAACTGGCATAACATATTACACAAAACACTGTTCCACCTCCTACTTTGGCAAGTAGCAACTGGGATCTTAAAAGCTTGCAAGCTGCCATGTAGTTGCAACGATGGGTCTCTCCTTGTCCAGAGCCAAGAAGAATGAAGAAAACCAAAAATCCATGGAAGCAATTAGTCCTAGTGACTGGTATACCATGTCATCCTCAGCCTATAGGACTATGAGACCAAAAGAACTAGATGGTGCCCGGCTACCACTGTCAACCACTTTGAAGGGGATCTATGCAGGAGATCCTGGATAGAGAAGGAGAACATTGTGGAATAAAACTCAAATTCATTTGGAGGAAAAAAAAAAAAAAAGAGGCGGGGGGGCCAGGTTTGCTGGTCTGATAGAACCTGGTAGAACCACTGAAACTATGACCCCTAGCTGCCCTTCAGGTCTGCAATTGAACCCACACCTGTGGATTCCAGCCAAACAGAAGACAGACATATGAGCTGAACATTTACTTGAGGTAGACACACTCCTTGGAGAGAATAATCATGCGAGAAAGAAAGACTGCTTATGCACAAGGAGACAGCTCAGGGGGCAAGAGTGCATGGAGGGATGGACACAGGGAAGAAGTAACTATCGGGAGGAAGTGGAAAGGGGAGCTGTTGCATTGTGGTAAATTGTGGTCAGTGTTATAAGACAAATTGTATGTGAACTGCTATATGCAAAGTGAATTTGCTCTGTAAATTTTCACCCAAAATCACATTGGAAAAAAAAAAAAGAAAAAGAAAAGAAAATTCTATCCAGATAAAAAAAGGAGACATTCAACCGCTAACCAAAAGGTTGACAGTTCAAACTGAAAAGTAGCTCCATGGGAGAAAAATGTGTCAGTCTGCTTCTCTGAAGATTGACAGCCTTGGGGCAGTTCCACTCTGTCCTCTAGGGGTGCTGTGGGTCAGAATGGACTCCACGGCAGTGGGTGTGGTTTGGGCTTTGCTTCTGTGAAGATTGACAGCCTTGGAGACCCTGTGGGGCAGTTCCACTCTGTCCTTTAGGGGTGCTGTGAGTGGGGCTTTGCTTCTGTGAAGACTGACAGCCTTGGAGACCCTGTGGGGCAGTTCCACTCTGTCCTCTAGGGGCGCTGTGGGTCAGAATTCACTCCAGGGCAGTGGGTGTGCCTTTTACCTTCCCACGCATCTATTCGGCTCTAAGAAGACAAATTAATTCTGTCACCTTGCTGAAGTGACATCTTTCAGGATCAGGTACAGTCCACCTTTCTGCAGCAGACAGGTCCATGGTCACCAAAACCCTCACCACCAGCTAATGTCTAACACAAACCCGTGGGCAGGGTGGCAACCCCAAGTATGACAGATGCTACAGGAGGGACCTCAGGAGAAGCTGGCACTAAGAGGGATACACCCTCCAACTCTATGAATGGGAGCATGCTGTCAGCAGGGGGAGGCTGTTGCCCAGGCTCTGCCAGCTAGTTCACTGGGAAGAGACAGGATTCCACACAGTACACGTAGACCAGGGTCTGCCGCATGGGCCAAGCCGAGACCCAAGTGGGAAGAGAGGCCGGGGTGAGGCTCCCCGCAGCGCACAGACAAACTTGTCACACTCCTTGTTCTCTTACCTTGGAATTCAACATGATCTCTGGAGCCCGGTACCAACGCGTGGCTACGTACTCCGTCAGGAAGCCCGTGTGGTCGTGGTCCGGATCTGCAACGCGGGCCAAGCCGAAGTCACAGATCTGAGGGGGGGACACGGAACACATGCTTAGAACCTAAAGCCTCTCCAACAGACCAATGACAGCACGCGGACAGCAGCCAGACACTCTGCTGGGAGCTTGGCAATACAATCACCGTGAGTCCACCCTCGCCACAACCTGCTGGGCAGCCGTGATGACCACACACTGGAGGAGTCGCTCAGCACACCTTGAGGGGCACGCCACCTTCCATAAGGTGCTCAGCTCACAGTAACCCAAGGGTACCTGCCTACACTGTTCCGACAGGGTGGTCCCCCTCCCGGGATGGCCACCTGCTGGTGCTCCCCATCAGGTCCACAGTGCGCACTGTCCATGTAGTTCTCAGACTTCACTTCCTGCCCTCTCTCTGCCTGCTCCACGGCTGTCGGCATTCCCAAAGAGTCTTCCCTTCCATGGAGGCAAAGCCTTGGTAAATTGTGTAAATTGGTTTACTTTCTTTCCCCCCCTATATGGAAGCAGCACTTCAAAACAACCTCCAGCTTCTGATTTTCTCTTGACATGAAAAGACCAGCCGGCCTTCCAGTCACGAGGCCATCCAGCCTTGCCACTCTGTGCCAAGGGCCCCAACAGACCCCCAGGGAGAGAGGATACAGCTATCCAAGATTCAGTCCCATAAAATGGTAGAACATTTGAATTCTGTGGCCCCTGAGGAACTAACGTAAGAAAGAGAAAAACAAGTTAAAGGCACAGGGTAGAAGGGAGCCTAGAGCCCAGAGACAACAGCTTGGAAGGTTAGTATGTTAACTTGGCTAAGACATGAGAGAGACCTGAACTCAGGCCACAAAAACGGGGATGAAGACAAGACAAGTCTACAAGGCATTTGGACCCTCCTGGATGGTGAACACTGTGTAGGTACATAAACTCGGTCATCTGCACGATTCCACCCACACCACCAACGTCCTCCCCTACTCTTGGCCACTGGCGCTACCACGTGGGACCTCTGGTAGTGGGCACTACTGCTGGTGTCACCGAGTGTCATTGTGCGGGACCACCGCTACCATGGGCACCACCGCTAGCATCACTGTGCGGGACCTCTGGTATCGAGGGCACTGCCGCTGGTATCACCAAGCGTTCAAGAAGAGCTCCACGTATCCACGTGGCCTAACTGCCACCTCTCGGGTGCCCTGCCAGGGGCCGTCCACAGGAGCCAGTGCTGCTTCCGCTGCCCCACCTCACCTGCCGCCAGCCACTTTCCCAGGGATGAGTGAGAAGAAAATCCTGTGTCCTTCTTCATTACTCGGGCGGCCAACTCCAGCCACTATACTCACCCCGGTGCAGAGCCTCTGTGTGAGTGCTGCGCCCTGACGTCCGGCTGGAAGGCGCATCCTTGAGACCCACCACACTCCCAAGAACCAGCTGCTGCCTGAACTCCCACAGTGCTTTGGAAGACGCTCATCCAAGCCCATGCCACATGCCACGGCAGTTAACTCTGCAATGCCTGCCTCCCAGTTAGAATGGACGGACCAAGAACAGGTGCGTGATGGGCCTTTTGTTCCCAAGTGTCCTTCACATAGTGGGACTGTGTGACACCTGGTAAAGATATGCCTGTCCCACTGGGAGGGAGAAGGGGCAGAGATGCCACCGCAGTCATTTCCCACAACGTCTCAGTCACTAATCAGTGTTTCAAATGACCAACCAGAACACCAAGCAGCACTCCAAAGAGTAACAAAGCTGCATGTCTCACAACGTGGACGACCTGGGAGACGTTATGCTGAGTGAGGTACGTCAGTCAACTAAAGGACAAACACTGCAGGGGACCACTGTTACAAAAAACCAAGAGGAGGTTTACGGACAGAAAGGAACACTCTGTGATGGTTCCCAGGGATGGGAGGGGGATGGAGGGAGAGTCGCTGACCAGCCGGTAGATGTGCATAAACCTGGAGGAAGGGAAAGGCAGCACACAGCAGGGGGGAGTCAGCACAACGTGACCAGGCAGAGGAAGACCCCGGGAAGCACACGAGAGCCAGAGGCAGCCGCGGCAGACACCGCGACACACACCATCCTGTGTCAGTAACAGGAGTGACTCACGGGTGGGCTCACAGATACACGCGCAAGCTGAGCAGGCGTGGGACAGCGGGTGGAGCACAGCCACGCGTACACGTGTGGCAGAGAGCACCGCCACACACACACTCGTGGGGGCTGCAAATCTACCCAGGAATTCAGTGGCGCGTACAGGGGACAAGGGTAGGGAAACCTCTTGGTTAGAAGCAACACCTCGAGGGAATAAGGCACGGGGCCCTGGGGCTCAGGACCATAACCCTGGGCAACACCAAGGTCAACTGGTACAACGTGGTCCACAGAGACAAGGTTCTCCATCCTACTCTAGTGAGTAGTGACTGGGGACTGCAAAGCTTGCAAGTGGCCATCTAAGGTGCAACTGCTGGTCTTTCTGCATCTGGAGCAAAGAAGAGTGAAGAAAATCAAAGACCTAAGAAAACAATTAGTCTAAAGGACTAATGGACCACATGAACCCCAGCCTCCATGACCCCGAGACCAGAAGAACTAGATGGTGCCCAGCTCCCACTGACAACAGGGCTCATGAGGATCATAATAGGAGGTCCTGGGTAGACTGGGCAAAAAATGTAAAATTAACCAAAAAAGAAAAGAAAAATCAAGCAATACAGTTACCAGGTTTTTTTTTTTTAACGTACATTAATAATGTACTAAAATCACAATTTTCAAAGAGACAACTATTACAGAAGAAAGAGAAATGAAAAATCAGAACAGCACCCTCCCCATGGAAGATGCTGCATGCCGGCCCTTGGGACACCGGGAGACAGCCACTTCTTTAGAACAAAACCCAGTGTGGTGGTTGTCCCTGGCTCTTCCCACAAGGAACAATTCATCCAAAAGCTACTGCTTGGAGCTCTCTAAGGGTCCCCGTGGGGTGGGGAGAGCTGCCGCAGTCTGGCAAGGTTGGGGGTGGGACAGTGGCATCCAAGTGGCACTAAGGGGTATCTCCTGGGGCACAGCGAAGAGGGAGTCAATGTGAGGCAGCAGCTCAGCATGGGGAGTCTAAGCAGGGACCCAAGGGGAACAGGCAGAAATCCACCATTCCAGTGGGGGTGCACCGTGGTGGTTTTCCGGCTCTCATTACTCCTGCCGCGTTTATTAGTTGGCATCCTTGAAAAGCAGAGCAACGTTTATCAGCTGGGGCTCTGTTCACCCTGATGAACAGAGGGGCACTGCAGATGGGAGAAATGGCTCAGTCAACTCTTTAATGACCAATTTTCAGACTAGTGAGGTGGTGTGAAGGGCCTGGGTCTGAGCATCTGTAACCCTCACACTCGGTACATGGCACAGAACCTGCAGGTCCACAGCAACTGGCTGTACTCAAAATATGCAACAGGAACTCTGATGGTGTAGGGGTTAAAGCACTTGACTGTTAACCAAAAGGTTGGTGGTTCAAACCCACCAGCTGCTTTGCAGAAGGAAGATGAGGTGTTTGTGATACTTGGAGCTGTGTGTCAACTTGGCTGGACCCCAGTTCTGTGTGATTGTTTCCATGATGGAATTGGATGACTGTGTTCTGAGTGGCCAATCTGTCCAAGGGGAGTTTCTCCAGGGGTGTGGCCTGTTTCCAGGATATCCAGGGACATCCTGGGAAGAGGGACTTTCTTCTGTGGATCGGGATTCTTTTGTGCTGTCTGCAACTGTTCGTTGAGTGAGAAGTCCACCGTTCGGTCTGGAGATCTCGGATTCGTCGTTTGTTGGAGTCAACAGGTGGTGTACTGCCTGCCAGCCTTGAGCTTCTTGGCCCCCTGTGGGGAAAGGCCTCCAGGCTGACATTTGCTCCGGGGACTTTGGACTTGCTGGCTTCTACATGTTTGTGAGCCATTTTCCCCAATTTTTTTTTTTTTTTTCCTCTCTCTCTATAAGCCGTGCTGGTTTTTGTTTCTCTAGAGAACCCAGTCTAACACAGTGTTCCACTTCCGTAAAGATTTACAGCCTTGGCATTGGTGTGGAATACCATGGAAAAGAACAGCAACAATGGAGCACAATATGAAAAATGTCAATGTCCCTGAGCTGTAAACATGCAAGTGGTATGTTGGTGAATGTCTTCTGTGTATGTCTTCACCAAATTAAAAAAAAAAAAAAAAAAAATCATAGCCTTGGCAACCCAGTGGAGGTCGCTACAAGTCAGAATCCACGCACTGGCAGTGAGTTTTGGTTTTTGGTTTAAAATAAGTAAAACAGCTCCAGAGGGTGTCACAGCTCCACTCATGGTCACCGGTGGAGAGTGTCCAGGTCTTTTGACACCACAGCAAGAATGAACCAAGCACACTCAGTGTTAACCAATAAGCTGCTAAGGCCACAAAATACACAAAGCAGCTGATGTGTCACTACACACGGCAACTGGATGTGGTACGGGAGGCCATGATCTCGAGCACCCTTCCCTGGACAGAGTGGGCCATGAACAAGCCATGAACTTGAGCATCTTTCCCTGGACACAGCATGGGTCATGGAATCTCATGCTTTCATAAAACAGACGAAGCCCTAAAAACACGTTTCATTTAGTTATCTTCTGGGATCCCAATTGGCAGGCACAGCCAGGACCCTGTGCACTGCAATTCCCACTGGAATCTCTGCGGAGGAAGTCCAGCTAACAGCAAGGGCACAGCCTGGTATAGACCAGTCCTCCCGACAAAACTCAAACTCAAACCCACTGCCGTCGGCTGGGTTCTCATTCACAGCAACACCACGTACTCCAGAGAGCAGCTCTGTGGGTTCTCTTGGCCGTCACCCTTATGGAAGCAGACGGCAACACTGCTGGCTGGGCTTGAACCGACAGCCTCTGGTTAGGAGCTGAAGGCAAACCATCCACTCCACCTAGGGACCCTGCTATTGTCGTTGCTGTCAGGTGCCGTGGAGTCAGTTACGACTCACAGAGACCCCGTGTACAGCAGAATGAAACACTGCCTAGTCCTGCGCCAGCCTCACAATCCTTGCTTTACCTGAGCCCACTGTTGTACCCACTGTGTCAA